ATGAGTAATTCTGCGATTTCAGGCCTGTAATTTGTCAAAAATGATGAGGCTGGGTATGTGTTGATCAGTCAGCTCATGGCAGTAATGAAAATATCCCATACAAAAGTACTAGGTTAACCTGGCGATTATGTTACCAAGTAGTCTCTATGACACTTCCAGTTGTTTTCGGCCTCCCGTCGTAAAAGGTTTGAATTGGCCTTGAACATCTACCTGCTCTACCATTGCTCTAAATTGACCTCACCTCGTATTGATCCCACGGTATTTTTTCGTCTGTTGTAGTAGCCCTCATCGTTTAGTTTCATTTTTGACTGGGGACGAGTGTTTTCAAATTTTTGATGTTCCTTGACCACTAAAATTTAAAGCTTTACTTTGCTAATAGATTTACCACTATCCAAACGTCTGTTGCAATATTTGGTAGGATTAAACTATACTGCCGACCTTTGAACGAATCTTAAGTGACCTTGAGAAATATTAGCCAATCAGAAGACAATTTGTATACAGCAAAAATTTATTATACAAAACCAAAGAATTAAAGTGGAAACACTTCTTTTACATGAGTCAAAAACTTCTGAAGGTCAGATATAGGTTCAGAAGTTCTAAAATCATGGTGCATATGGTACAGGAGCACATTCATATGGCTTCATAGTAGTCGACCTCTGAAACCACGATAAGGTCTCAAAAATTCCTTTAGCCTCGACCACATAGCTTCAGTAATGTTAGTATATTGGTATGGTTTACGATTTAGGGTTAGAGTTAAGGTTTCGGGTTAAGGGTGAGACTATAATTTATGAATGACCTTTGAGCGACGCTAGAGTGACTCTGAGAGTGTCAAATAATAACTAAGACCAAATGAGGGTTATAAACCTGTAAGAAGAATTCAAATTATGATTTACAGTTTATGGTTAAGGCTAGGAATTGTACTTAGGGTTTTCATCACGAACTGACATCAGCTATACTGCCAAAACTATTTATCCAAATAGATAATTGAATTTCGCGCCAAAATCTTTTGATCACTTCTCGTGTAGACGCTGAATTATCACGTCTTCCCTAAAATCCGCTGTAAAGCGATCGTACGTAAGCATCATGTACCGAACCTAGCGTCGTGACCTTGAAAACCCGCTAAAGCTTTTGATTGGTTCGGCAGTATAGTTTAATCCTACCCAATATTCTTTCAGATCGACTTGTTATGTCACTGAGTCATTGCTCGATTATTTCGTACTTATGTTTCCGGGACGTGGAATCACACGATATTTTTCTCAATTGTTAGGCGTCAGCAATGAGAAAATGTCGGAATTGCTATCGCATCATTCAAAGCCATATTGGCAACCTATTGTATAAACACATTTGTCGTGTTACGAAATTATTTATGAGATCTCAAGTAGTGCTAAATAAAGCCAGTTAGAGGTTGTTAACGTACGTTGGTCAAACTATCTGAATCTTGATACAGGTCCCGAGACTCTAAAAGCTTTGTTACTTGCTAATTGCTTTAAAACGTGACACCAAAATGCTAACATCGAACTAATTATCGTTTACCCCTTGACTATTAGACTAAACGATATGGTAGTGTATCTTTTACCATTTTGCTTCATTGTTAATATTGCTCGCATTATTCATGTTTTCTGACAGCTTGTTTTTATTATGGACTGTAGCTGTTCCGGTTACTATCTTATTAAGGCATCCTACGCCTTTGCGAGTTGTGTCGGAAGAGATTCAGATGAACGATAACCCAGTTCAGTTCAATTATCTCGGTCATATTTACTCATTTAGACGAGACTCAACAAGATCAGATACGAAATATGATAAAAACATCTGTCCCGTCACAGCTAGACGGTGGTTTTTGAAACTTAACAGAAAGACAACTTGAAATCTTCAAGTATGTATCCGAGCTACCACACATCACGGTTGAATACAGACAAAATACGAAGGATTAGGAAATACTTGCAGGAGTTGGACACATGAATAGCTTGCGGAAATAAGCGCTGACCAATCGATTAAAGTTAACAACTTACCAAATAATTTACTCAATTTATTCAACACTACGCCTGTTACTATCCTTTCTCGTCGTATCACTAACGGTGCACCGAGAGCGTGACTTAATAAATGTTTTCTATCCACATGGTCGTTTATTAATTCAAATCAAACCGCCGTGTGGTGTACTCGTCCCTTCGTAAAATAACACTTTCGTTACAGGTAGCACTAGTTGGCAGTAAGAACTTTGCAACGCTTTTGTATCAGTGCATAGGTCTCATCAGTAACTAACGCGTTCGACTAAACTCGAAACACTTAATGCGATCATTATCCTTACTTATCTAGCTTCCCAAAGTCGGAATTAGGTATTGGCACAAACTTGTCCTTAGGTGACATTTTGGACTCCAGAGCAGAGGAGGTCGTGCCGAATAATTCTATATTATCGCTTTGGGATTAGCATTTCTGTCTGGTTAAGTTAGTAAAAATCTTCGAAAAAGATCAGTCTATGAAAAGTAAGAAATTTGTCTGTGACCGTAAAATTAGTAAGAGTTGGATAGCTATGACAAACATCATTCGATGTGGTCAGCTCCAATTACCTAACCAAGTCATCAAGAAAACACCTGGTTCTCCTTTTGATGGTAAATTGCCAAGGTACCATATATCGACGAACTAGGATAACGCTCTCAGGTCAAGTAACATGATCATAGCATATCTGTATCCTACAGGCTGGTGAAAAAGATTCCCTTAGTTTCACGACCAGGTTTAGAACCTGGTTGGTGTTCTCAGATATTCTGTTAACGAAATCCAAATAAATATCAGATGACCTTTCAAAATCAGCTATTCGACCATAGATTTGCAGCATTACCAACATTTGTAAGATCAATAAGTAAATGGTTGTGGTTAAACTTTTCGTTCTTCTCATTTATGCTCTAGTATTCCTGCTGCTAAGTTTTGTATCAGTTTGCAGTTGTTTTCAGTAACCATACCACTGTTACTCAGAAATTCATCTTAATAATTTCATTTTCTTGAGACAACTTAAATCGATGTACATCTGTCACTTCCTACATTACGTATTTCTAGCTGACGCAAAAATCCATTAAGTTTTATGTTGGCTCAATTACTCAATCAGCCTCCGTATCTTCTATAAAAAAATAGGATGTTTTAGAATGTTAACTATGTGATCCATTGGGTCAGCAAAGGAAGTTATGTACGTAGACTAACCTGAGAACATACTTCGACATTGGTTGCCAAGGGGTTGACTTTAATGTTAGATGATAGGTGAACGCGAAATTCAAAATTCGGCTCAGTAGTCGTTCGAAGTTAGTATTTTCTTTAGCCCAACTGGTCTGTTGTTCCAGCTACGTCGCTCAGTCTGTCTTGTGCTCCTTGGTCAGCGACTACCGATCTATCTAACGATGTCATCAACTCTAGATCATAAGGCGCCACAAATTGTCAGGCCCAAACAGCCTACTTTACGCATTTTGTGGATAGTGGCGAATTTCTGGTCGGGGAACTATTTGGGTTTGCAGATGTTTGTGTAGTTTTTTTTAACATCTTGGAATAAAGCGACATTCGTCCCCATTTTTAAAAAAGGTTTACGTTGTGTATTCCAAAACAGTTAACTTTCGTCATATTTCGCTGACTTCAAAGTCCGTACAAGGTTAGCTCACGGAAAACAGACTGGCTTTCATTCTTGTTGTGAATGTGTTGTTCGTATCTTTATCCTTAGCCAAATTTTAAGACATAGGCGCACTTATTGTCGATCAAAGATTGTTTTTTTATGGTCGGGCCGCCTTCGATCTGTCGGACCAGGTCTGTTATCTGGAACTGTCGTAAAGGTATGTTTCTGAAAAGTTTGTTAACGTCTTGAAGGTTATATATACAAATACTTCAAGGAACGTGAAGGTACACAACTACCTTTTTCCGTCGTTAAGGAGAGTTACTCAACTTCAATATTCCTCTCTAATTTTTCTGGCAGTGATATTCTGGAGACACTTCTGGTGGGAGCTCGTGGTATGGATCTGTTACACATAGAAAGGCTTTTTAATGTCACATACTACTGTGTGATAAAACAACTTATCTAGGCAGTATTTAGTCAGTTCTGGTAACCAGGTCATGTACGTTGCACCTTTTAAATGCGAAGCAATCTTACAAGACTTGAAGAGACTCGTGCCTGCTCTCTCCGTGGTAATTTGTTACAAGCAGTCAGGAAGTTCTTGTATCTGGGTAGTTGTGTAAGTGCTACCAGTGGCATGGGAGATAAAACCGGCGCCTCTGTTCAGTCGTTGTATTTGAAGAATTGCTAACATCCATGTTAGCAATGCTGAAGTTCTCCAATGTGCATTCGTCATAGTGACGATAACTTTGGGTCACAATCATGAGGCACCGTCTTTAGTGGATTATTTATTATTTATTTTATTTGAACACATAAATATTGGTACAATGAAGCACCAGATAAATATGCGCCTCACAAATCTCGTTCGATTTGTGTGAGGGCTGTGATACTGCCCAGGTGCCCAGACTGAAGCAGGTGGTTTTCTTAGGGGGCCACACTCGGAGCCTTTGACCTGAATGTCTGATCCACAAGGCAGTGGAGCATCGTGAGGAGATGCAGTCCCATGGTAGCCGTTGACCAATGACAGGTTCGTCCGCCATTCGTTCCATCAGGATACTGGAGCCCATGTGCACCATTGGTTTGGAATCAGGTGGACCCTCCGTGTCCACCAGCCCGGTTAAAGCGCCGGACATTCGCTTTTCGTCCTTTCACTTTCGTAAACAACACCCCCGCCGCGAGAAGGCAGTGAGTAGGACTTCCCTGGCAGAGGCTATATATTCGCTGGCCATATGAGAGTATTTCGAGAGGGAGAGGTGACTCTCTCCACTCTCGGCCGTACCAGGGCATTTCAACGACTTCCACGATGTTCATTGATTATTGACGCTGAGATTGGGTGAAAAAAGACAGTCAGTTGGAGTCCTAGTGATGGTACGACTCGCTTGAAATGACCGTAGCTGCTACCTTAAGGTGATGGTCTGGCTTGCCTATCGTGGTGACCCAACCGAGCTATATTGGCTGGGACATATGTTCCTGTAGGTTCTACCATGCCGGGCAGGTCGATTGGAGAACGGTAAGACTAAAAGCAGCAACTCAAGGTCTGAGGACGAAGTCGTACTGCTGACTGTAGAAGGGTGTGACAACAGTAAGGTGTTTGCCTCGGACAACCAGCATCTGCAGCGATGCTGCCTTTTCACAAGGAAGAAAGGAGTTAGAAAAGGTCGACCCTGAAAATGTCACATCTCACCTTACCCCACCGATTTCCGTCTCCGGCGGTAAAGCCCTTTAAAGAAAGGAGTTAACATATCAAAAACCTCCCACAAAATGGCTGTGCGTGACCGACCTCAAACAGCTGCCCCTTGGGCTCTGCGGTCACTCTCCGAGGTTGTTAAGATCAACATTAATCTAACTTCATTTTCAGGTCCGTCAAGAAATACCCTTTCATCGTATGGGCAGCTGGGAAGTGATATCGACCCTCATACTCGTAACAACACACGAAACCAAGTTGGTCACAATCAAGTCCTTCCTACACCTAATAACTCTCTTATCTCCACGACTAACCCTTCTCACGTCCTTTTATCACCTTGCACCGCTAGGGCAAACGATTCGAGTACGCGGAACGTTATTCCCAGTTTCCTGAAACCACGCTCTAAACTACATGTATAAACTTTTAACGTCCGAACATTGTGCCAAATAGGACAACAGACTTCCTTAGCTAGAACTTTGGAATCTCGTACCATCGATGTGTGCTGCGTCTCGGAAACGCGCATACAGGATCCCAGTAGCGTCATTCCTTTGACCTCATCATGTCAAAATAAAGAACCAACTCAATCCACATTTCGTGTATCTGGAAGCCCTGATGCCGCTTCCCGTGGCCTCGCTGGCGTGGGTATAGCATTGAGTCCTAGGGCAGATCTTGCTCTTTTCGACTGGATCCCAGTAGACAGTCATCTGTGCGCTGTCCGACTGAACGGATCAGTAAGGACTCGGGAAGATAGGGAAACTCGTTGTTGCCTCTTCGTCATCTCTGCCTACTTTCCCACCGACTGCAGCTCAGATGATGTAAAAGATGAGTTCTACAGAAAGCTTTCAGACCTCCGAAAAGCTAGGCGTTCTGATGTAGTAATAGTGGCTCGTGACCTTAATGCTCAAGTAGATAAACTATGCGAATGGGGAAGACACCTGGGTGGATCTTATGGTGTCGTGGCTCAAAAAACAGATAGTGGCGATCGTCTGTTGCAGCTATGCTCAGATAACCCCTTGTTTCTTGCAAATACTAACTTTAAACACAAGGAAACACATCTTTTGACATGGCGACCCCCGAATTCGTCCCAACGTTGGACCCAACTAGATCACATCGCTATTAGCCACCGATGGAGGGGCTCGATAGAAGACTCGCTCATTCTGGAGCACATGCTTAGATTCAGATCATGCTCTAGTGCGAGCACGTATCCGTTTGCGTTTTACTGGACGTAGGAAAGACGCTGCAAAGAAGCTTCTTAGGGTTCTACTCAGTGATAAGCAAGCTAGGAATATATTTCAGGAACAACTAGGAAAACAGTTAGGCAGCCATGCAAGTTGTGCCCACCCCGAGGCAGCGTGGAATGACATCCGAAAAGCTGTGGAAACAGCATTGATATCTGCTAGTACCGTAAACCATAAGGTTAGGGAGAAACACTGGATCTCAGCAGCATCTACCGCACTGATAGATGCTCGAAAACCATCTGGCTCTGACAGGTTTACCCTTGAGATTTTTAAAGATGGCGGTCCAGTATTAGCAGAGAGATTGACTGACGTCTTAGGTAGAATCTGGGATCTGGACGTAATTCCATCTGACTGGTCCCAATCACTGATCGTGCCAGTCTATAAGAAAGGAAAGAAGTCTTTTTGTGACAATCACAGAGGAACCAGTTTAATATAGTGTCTAAAATATTAGCTTTAGTATTACTTGGGCGCCTAACCAAAGCTCGTGCAGAGCAGACTAGAGAAAACTAGGCTGGTTTTCGACCTGGACGTGGTTGTATAGACCAGGTATTCACTCTACGTCAGGTTCTAGAACATAGACATACATTCAGACGCCCCACAATCGTAGTATTTTTCGACCTTAAGGCGGCATTTGACACTGTTGATTTTGAGGTTCTGTGGCAGTGTTTGTCACTGAAAGGAGTACCAAAGAAGTACATTAACCTTATAAACGCTCTCTACTCGAACACAACTGGCCGAGTGAGAGCTTATGATGAACTGTCATCAGAATTGGTTACCTCAAGTGGTGTTCGTCAGGGCTATCCACCCTCTCCATTCTTGTTTAACTTCTTGTTTTAAGTTTATCGTAGACGTGCTTTTAGAAATAACACTTTCCTCATCCAAATTTAGAGGGGTTTAACTTCTACCAGGAGATTCATTTGTTGACTTGGAATATGTCGGTGATATAGTTTTATTTGGTGAAGACGCTGAAAAGATGCAGTCTTCTGACCACTATAAGCAACAATTCAGGCATGTTCGGGATGTGATTCTTCCCCTTGAAATGCAAAATGTTACTTCAGGATTGGGTTGCATCGACACCCGAACTAATGATAGGGAGTGAAGTAGTTGAGCATGTCCACCGCTTCACTTATCTTGGGAGTCTCATCAGCCCTTGTGGTCTGGTGTGTGACGAAATCTCAGCACGGATACAGAAGACTCGTCTAGCTTTTGCCAACTTGCGTCATTTATGGCGTAGGCGAGATATCCGTCTACCAACCAAAGGACGGGTTTGTTGTGCAGCAGTTTGTTCCGTCCTACTTCATGGCAGTAAAACATGGCCGATAAGAGTAGAGGATATTCGTAGGCTACTAGTTTTCGATCATAGATGTCTTCGAAGGATTGCTCGTATATCCTGGGACCACCGGGTAAGTAATGCAGATGTTAGGAAACGGGTACTAGGTAAGGATGGCAAATCGATTGATGAAGTAGTGAAACTTCATCAGTTGAGATGGCTGGGACACATGTTACGTATGACCAACCACTGACTGCCACGACGTGCAATGTTTTATGGTGTAGGATTAGGTTGGAAAAAAGCTAGGGGCGACCAGACCAAAACGTGGCACGAATCCATGAAGTCACTGAAAAGTGGACTGATCCATGTTGGTGGGTGTAGACCACCTGGTTGGGATCTGCGAGATGATAACGACCGATGGTTAAAGACCCTGAATGACATGTCTCAAAATCGTTTGCAATGGCGAAGGGGCATCCACTCTTTGTGTTCTGCCAAATTATAATCTTCTGAATTCTTCATGCCTCTATCTTTTTTCTCTTTCCAGATTTATTTCACTGTATTATATTCCTTGAATAACATCTTCAAACCCTAATCTTTCACATAATGCTTATACTCTTACCACCAGTACCACTGGGATTTGAATCGACTTCTGCATCTCTGTGCTAATGTTATATGGTAACTCGAGCTGATGTACGTACGTACTAAGTTCCACGTTGTGACTGACTGCATATTTTCTGGTGTAGAAATCGATATTAATTTTTTTTCCATTTTCTGTACCATTCATAAAAATATGAACCGTCAACTGGAAAAAGTTAATTTCGCTGCTTTCAACTGATATATATTCTCGTTTCACACATTATTCTTACCTATTTCAAAATCTTAATCCATGCTCTTTTATTTCTTCACAACGTTATCTCTTTATTTTGTGTGGTACATATTTTTTATTATTCAATCATACCTGACTTTATGAGTGCAACACAAAATAAATAATTCTAGTAAAAAGTGGGATTCGATTAGATAAACCTTCGAGCTGAACTATTTTACCAGTATCTTATGATAGATTCCTTTATTTAAAGTGACCATTCAATTTTATGGTGTAAAAGTCTACCTTCGCAAGTCCTATGAGTTTTAGTGCTTTATGTAAACTGCTTCCCGATTGTCCTCCATAACCACATTTGTGCTCGTAGTTGTTTATTTTCAACATGAATCCCCAGTCTGTGTATGTCGGTTTAGCTACATTACCAGCAATTTTAGTGTGCAGCTAGCTGAATCTCATAGATGTACGCAAACTTGTAGCGATTTTCGTACCATCGTTTTATCATACCATGTAAAGATTTTTCTAATTTAACACTAATACTCTCCCTTAATTGCTAAACCTTTTCTTTTACAGTGTACGTTTCATCTTCCCATTTCCCGATCCTGCTGCCTATTCAGACCCAAGAATGCGAAATCTAATCGAATATGCGCGCAAAGTTGAACGCGAAATGTATGTTACTGCTACAGATATTGATCATTATTTTCATTTGTTGGCTCAGAAGTGTTACAAGATACACCGTGAGCTAGAAGAAAAACGTAAAAGTCGCCAGCTTGGAGTGGACAGTTCAGTAGGGAGTTCTCAGTCTGTAGTAACATCATCTTCTGCTGTTAATTCGTCGCAATTGAATCAGAGTTTATCCACATTGTCTAATCAGTTGGCTTCACCTTCCAATTCAGTTTCTTCTACATTAGGTTCTTGCACAGCGAGCAGAGTTCCGAACTCCAATATTTCCAACGGTAGCTACAATTCTTCAAATGAGAGCTATGAAATGAATTCATTTGCAACTCAGGATTCAAACAACTCAGAAACTGACATGTCAAGATTCGAGCATTATTTACAAAATGCTTGCAATCGTCATCGTTTCAAGTCAGATTCAGGAACAGCAGGGTCTTCTGATTCACCTATTGTGTCCTCATCAGTTACAAATCTGAAAACCTCCACGTCACAGCCCAGTATTAAATCAACAATCGAAGATACAAAAATGGTCAGCACTCCAGCTGTAGCTGCCTCAGGAGATAGCATCCTTGTTAAAAGCAAAGTAGTAAAGGTTGAAATGAAAGCTGATGAAACACCATGTAACGATCCACCAGTGAATAATGATTCATTTTCTGTGGACACCACGTCAAACCTTAATTCAAACAGTGTCCCACTTGCTTCAAACATGTTACCTGTAAAACCAGATGAAAGCAAGTGGAAAAAATGGTCACGCGAAGAGCTTTTGCGCCATTTCCTTCAATTACATGAAGAAGTATACAATGATAAGTATGCAGAACCTTTCCGCGCTCCAGTTGATCCAGTGATGCTACATATACCAGATTATTTCCAGGTTATTAAAGAACCTATGGACCTTACGACTATTCGAAATAATTTGGAGGATGGTAAGTACACGGACCCATGGCAGGTCGTGGATCACTTTCGACTGATGTTTAATAATGCATGGCTGTACAACAAAAAAACCTCCAAGGTTTACAAGATGTGCACCAAGGTATGTTAGAGTGATTTCGCTTAACCTTTTCACTGTAGTTGGCAGAACTTTTTCAGAATCGCATAGACCAGGTCATGCAAGCAATGGGGTTTTGTTGTGGTCAGGATTATGAATATCAACCTCAGGGTTTGTATTGTTCCTCTTCAAATTTATGTACAATAAACCGGGATGCTACTTATTTCGTCTACATCAACAAGTGAGTCCTTTAATACCTCCTTATTTATTTTAGTGATAAACAAATCGGTCTCGTATGTGATAAATATTATCAATGTGAAAAATGTTTTAGCGAAGCTGGAGATGTAATTATATTGGCTGACGAACCAAATCAGTCTATGTAAGCCAGATTTTATTATTTTTCAACTAATTGGTACTTTTTTTAGCCCGATTAAACGGGAAATGTTTGAGAAACGAAAGAATAATGTGAAGGAAAAAGAAGAATTTGTTATTTGTGTGGAATGTGGTAGACGTTGGCATAAAGTCTGCGCCTTACACATGAACGAAATATGGCCAAGTGGATATATTTGTCCTGGTTGTCTACGGGAGCGCGGTATAAAAAGGAAAGAAAATCGGTTCACTGCTAAGAAGCTACCCGTAACGCGCCTGAGCAATTTCCTGGAGAAGCGTGTTAACGATTTCCTTAAGAAAAAAGAAGTTGGTACTGGAGAAGTTACTATTCGCGTGTTGGCGAGTTCTGATAAGGTTGTAGAAGTTAAACCTTTAATGCGTGCAAGATTCACTGAAAGTGGCGAATTGTCTGAATCATTTCCTTATCGACTAAAGGCTGTTTTTGCTTTCCAAGAAATCGACGGCCAGGATGTGTGTTTCTTCGGTTTGTACGTGCAAGAATATGGTTCAGAAAGTCCTCAACCCAATCGTAGAAGGGTTTATGTTGCTTACCTAGATTCCGTTTTCTTTTTCCGACCAAAACAATATAGGACAGATGTGTATCATGAAATTCTTGTTGGCTATCTGTTGTATGCAAAGCGGTGTGGTTATGCAATGGCACATATATGGGCTTGTCCACCTGGTGAAGGCGACGATTATATTTTTCATATGCATCCTACCGAGCAAAAAATTCCCAAAGCAAAACGATTGCAGGAGTGGTACCGTCGGATGCTTCAAAAGGCTATCATAGAAGGAATAGTGGTCGACTACAAAAACATCCTTAAAGATGCTTTAGATCATCAGCTTGTGTCACCTACAGAGATCCCTTATTTTGAAGGTGATTTCTGGCCAAATACACTTGAAGATATTCTTAAGGTAAGTAAATCTGTTATAGCAATGTTTTCATTCTCTTCAGCGTTTTCATGTGTATTGTTGGTCTTGGTGTAAGCGGCTCTTTGCATTGCACAAGTGTTACTGATTTATATCTGTAGATTTATAATTCACTTTTTTCCAATAAGATTTTCGGATTCTTTACCAAAGTTCTCCCCCTTATTGTTTCACATTTTGTGTCATGGACTTGATGATAAAGGTCACTAATGGGTTAATTTTCCCGTTAAATGTTGTAGTTCAGATTTAGGAACTGATCTAATTGAACCCGTAAGTCACCTTTACTACGCTAGTAAGCATCCACTTTTTTAGCCAACCAATCAAAGATGCCTGTGATCGTTTGACTAAATGACAAGTAATGTTGGACCCGATACAAATGTGTTTTAGCCTAAGTAGTCATGCTTCGGTCGGTCAGGTCAGCTACAACGTAGGACCAGGCACATATATGCATCGGTCCAAGTTGCCATACCTCGTTAGCACAACAAGAGGAACACCGGATTCATAGTAGTTAATCTAGTGTTGGTAGTAGTATATAAATTATAGGTTGTATATAAGGATATAGTACAGGAAGAAAGAGAGATATGAAGCAATTTTAGTCTCAAGGTTTAAGGGAAGATAAAGAGTGTATACACCTACGCCATTGTGACCGATTCTGAGCCATGTCACCTAGAGTCTCCAACCATTGGTTACGATAGTCACGCGGACCCCAACCAGGTAGTCTGCATCTGCCAACATGGCTCAGACTAGAAGTTAGTGACTTCAAGCACTGATGCCATGTTTTGGTTTGGCCGCCCCTAACTCTCTTCCAACCGTCCCCAATACTAGTCATCATAGCGCGTCGTGGTAATCGGTGTTCAGGCATACGTAACACATGGCCCAACCATCTCAGTCGATGAAGATTCATCACCTCATCAACTGATTTACCATCGTTCCCTAATACCCTGCGTCTAACCTCACTATTACTTACCCGGTTATCCCAGCAGATGCGAGCAATATTTCTAAGGCATCTGTGGTCAAATACTAGTAACCTACGAGTATCTTCTACTCTTAATGGCCATGTTTCACAGCCGTAAAGTAGGACAGAGCGAACTGATGCGCAGTATACTCGTCCCTTAATTGATAGACGGATATCTCGTCTACGCCATAGGTGACGTAAGTTGGCAAAAGCCAAACGAGCTTTTTGAATCCGTGCTGAGATTTCGTCACACACCAACCCATTAGGGCTGGTCAGACTTCCAAGATAAGTGAAGTTGTCGACGCGTTCGACTACTTCACTCCCTATCCTTAGTTCGGGTGTTGACGCAGGCCAGTCCTGGACTAACACTTAACATTAAGATGGGGGGGAGAAACGCATCCCAAACATCCTAGCATTATTACTGAGTTCCAACAAAAGACTCTGCATCTTGTCAGCGTCTTCATCAAACAGGACTATGTCATCTGCGTATTCTAAGTCGCTAAGTGGACCCCCTGGTAGAAGATCGATTCCTGAAAATTCAATCAACGAGAGCGTTATTTCGAGCAGTAGGTTTATAATGAAGATAAACAGAAATGGGGATAGTTGACAGCCTTGTCGGACACAACTTGAGATTGTAAAATCAGATGACAGATCGCCATAAGCTCTCACTCGACTAATAGTGTTCGAGTAAAGAGCCTTCAAAAGGTTTATGTACTTCTCAGGTACACCTTTCAATGACAGACACTGCCACAGAACCTCTCGGTCTACAGAGTCAAATGCTGCTTTCAAGTCAAGAAAAACTATCATTGTCGGACGCCGATAAGCGTGTCTGTGCTGTAAAACTTGACGAATGGTGAATATGTGGTCGATACAGCCACGATCAGGTCTGAAGCCAGCTTGATTTTCTCGTGTTTGCAGTTCACGAGTCTTAGTTAGGCGCCCGATAATTATTGAGGCTAGTATTTTAGATGCTATGTTAGTCAGACTAATCCCTCTATGGTTATCGCAGGAGGATTTTGACCCCTTTTTATATATTGGGACAATCAGTGATTGTGACCAGTCGGATGGGATTACATCCGTCTCCCAGATTTTAGCCAGAATATTAGTCAACCTAATCGCTAAAATTGGACCACCGTATTTAAAAACCTCTGGAACCAATCCATCAGGACCAGCTGCTCTTCCTCGTTTCAGATTACCTATAGCCTTTTGAACTTCAAGTAGGGTCGGGGGGCCTAATTCAATGTTCCATTCAGGTTTTCTGGGAATAGTGGGTAGTTGTGCAGTAGCTGAAGGCCAGCTAAACTGCTCCTTAAAGTGTTCCGCCCATCGTTCTAAACGTTTAGGTTGAGAGCAGATAAGGGTTCCGTCTTTTTCCGAGATTGTCTCACTCACACTTGACTTCTTAATTCCGGTTTCTTTTATTAGTCTGAATAGTTGCCTGGTGTTGCCTACAGCCGCTGCCTTTTCCATCTCTTTTGCTTTCGTTGCCTACCACTGCTCACGATCGTTCCTTAGGCTTTTAGTTAACCTAGATCTAATTTGTTTACGCTCTTCGTCATGTTCAGAGCCTGATGGGATGAGTTTACGCGAATCCATCAGTGAAATAGACTTAGAGGAAATCCACTGGTTTTTTGGAGCCCTATGGTTTAAATGACTAATAGATGTTACTGCCGTTTCCACAGCTGTTCGTGTGTCTTTCCAAGCAGCATCTGGGTCAGTCTCGTTTACAGAACTGCCTAGATGTGAACTCAGTTGCTTCTGGAATTCGCATTTGGCTTTCTCGTCCTCCAGTTCAATCCTAATGGGTCTTCTTAGTGTACTTTTCCTGCGTCCATTGAGGCGCAGACAAATGCGTGCTCGTATTAAAGCGTGATCAGAGTCTAAACAAGTATTCCAATACGAGCGACAATCTTCTATTGAGCCTCTCCAACGATGACTGATGACAATATGGTCTATTTGAGTCCATCGTTGGTTTGGTGCAGGTGGTCGCCATGTTAGACGATGTCTCTCCTTATGTTTAAAATTAGTGCTTGCCAAAAATAAACGATTGTCTGAGCATAGTTGCAACAGACGATCACCATTATCGGTTCGCTGAGCCGGAATACTAAAACACCCACCTAAATGTCTTTCTGTTTGATTTAAGCTGCCTACCTGGGCATTAAAGTCACCCGCTACGACTACTATGTCTGAGCGCTTAGCTTTCTGAAGAAGCTCAGAGAGTTTTCTGTAAAAGTCATCTTTTACTTAATCATGGCTGCAGTCAGTGGGAGCGTAGGCAGAAACGACGAAAAGGCAACGACGTGTGTCCCTATCCTTCCGAGTTCTTATGGAGCCATTTAGCCGGACAGCACACAGGCGACTGTTAACGGGGATCCATTCTAGTAGTGCCTGTTCTGCCCTTGTACTTAGTGCTATGCCTACACCTGCAAGTCCACGAGAACTAGTCATACACGGTGGGTGTATTTCGTCGGCTGTCCATTTTGGCGAGGTGAGGTCAAGTGAATGACCACACTGGGATCCTGTATGCGTGTTTCGGAGACACAGCATACATCAATGGTACGAGATTCTAGAGTTTTAGCTAAGGAGGCCTGTTGACCGATTTGGCATAGGGTACGTACGTTGAAGGCTCCAATGTGTAGTTTGGAGCGAGGTTTTAGTATACCTGGGACAGCGTTTCGCGCACTAGAATCGTTGGCCATGGTGACACTTGAGGAGGAAACCGAGAGAGGAAGTTTAGTGTTGAAATTCAAGGTAGAGGGAATAGTAGGAAGTAAAGAAGGAGATTGATTATGAATACAGTGGTCTTGAGTGTTGTTAGAGGTATGAGTGCAGTTATCACTTCCCGGTTGCCCACACCGTGGAAGGATTCTTCTAGAGGTACCTGAAAAGGAAATTGGGTTAGGAGTGGTCTTAATGACCTGAGAGCGTGACCGCAGTGCCCAAGGGACAACTGCTTGAGGTCGGTCACACACGACCTTTTTGTGGGTAGTTTTTGTGTGAGCTCCGTTCTTCAAAAAAAAACCTTACCGCCGGAGACGGACATCCGTGGGATAAGGCGAGGTGTGCATTTTTAGGGTCGACCTTTTCTAACCCCACCCCTCCTTGTGGGAAGGCAGCATCGCTGTCATGCTGGTTGTCTGAAGGAAACACCTTACTGCCGTCACACCTCTGTACAGTCAGCAGTACGACTTCGCCTTCGGACCTTGGGTTTGCTGCTTTTAGTCTCACCGCTCTTCAACCGACCTGTCTGGCATGGTAGGACCTCGAGGAACGACTGTTCCAGCCAGCATAGCTCGATTGCTTCATCACGATAGGCAAGCCCGACCACCACGTCAAGGTAGCAGCAACGATCGGGAGTCATGCTTCGTATTTCCATCAATATAATAGAGTCAATAGGAGCAAAAACCAACACGTTAAGATAGCGATAACAGTAAGCTTTTAGTATTGAAAGAGGTTTCCTGACTTCAAACTATTGGCTTCCGTCATACCTCGTAGATTGTTCAAAACCCGAGAAAAATTGACTTACGAGGAGCATGTTGGTTTTCGTTCTGGTCGAGGATGTATTGACCATATCTTCATCCTTAGCCAAATGTTAGAACACCGTCATACTTATCACAGGCCAATAATCGTAGTGTTTCTTGACATCGGGGCTGCCTTCAGTCCGTTGGACAGGACCGTTCTCTGTGATTGTCGGCATCGTGTATTCGGTGTCACTATCTTGAAACATCGACTTCGGCGGCTTGGACATGTTCTACGAACGTTGTCTCAGAGAGTTCCACGTCGTGCATTATTTGACGGCACTGGGACTGGTTGGAAAAAGCGGAGAGGTGATCAGTGTATGACAGTGTGTCGTCGTATAAAAGGAAGTTGTTCAGGACTGGCTTCTGTTGGTCCTTCACGACTCCCTGGTTGGGGTCCTAGAGATAGTGCAGCACAGTGGCTAGAGACATTATCAGATGTGGCTCAGAATAGAAATCAGTGGCAATCCTGCTGTAGTTTTATTTTACTTCATAAAAAATGGATGTGACTTTAACCGGAAGAACTTTTTCTGGCTGTACCTTTGCTAACTGAACTGCCTCTCCCATTATTATCATTACTTCACTATCATACACTAATATCTGTTTGTTTTTGTTCCTTTTTTCTTATACGCACTTAATTTTCTCTATCCCTTCACATTTTCATTATTATTGTGTGGCGTAAATATATTTGGTGCCCCTTCGTATCAATATTTATTTGTTCAAATAAATAAATAAATCATGGTGTATTTTTACTGCACTGTTTTCTTATTAACTTGGATACTTCTGCGAATATCCATTTCTATTGTTATACACCCGGTCTCTAATTGTTGCGTAAAGTGTTGTTATTAAGTGTACAGTTTGGATCCTACTCCCTACTGCCAATAACCAAAGTTCAACACTAGTAATAAGTTCAAAGGATATACATGCCAAAATGTACATGAGAACAAGAAAAGGAGATCCCCGTTGACTGTTTTTGCGCAGTTGTCAGACGACAAGCACGCAAAAAATCAAACTACTTAGCAGAAAGGTGATAACATTTTGCAGTAGTGCTTTGTTTTGGCCCATCCAATCTTTACTTGAGCTAATGTAGCACATTTTAGTAGACAGTTGTTGTAGATTTTTAATGCAACCCAACAATCTCTGAAAACGTTCATAACATTATTTTATTTGCTTCCCGTAGTTATTACTTCACACCTAACGCTCATTGTTCGCTCTTCCTACTACACTCAGATAGTGTCAGAATCACATTACTAAATATCTGTAATCTGTTCATATTTTTTCAGCGATTGGGTCTTACTGCTTTAAAGTAGAACGAGAGCGATTGACAAGAGTTTTCTGTTTGGCAAATACATTCATTTTATGTAGTAATATGACTGGCGTTATTCTAAGAATTTATAGCCTCCATAATTGGTATTTATCCATACTGTGTTTATATCAGAATAAACTATTCATACCTGATATCTCTGAAGCGTTCTAAATTTTGTATTAATCATCCCATCTTTATTCAGGTTTTTGTGTGACGTTTTTTTATCGCTTCTTTCTGACACCATTACAAATTCACTTGTGATCTATGCAATAAAGCTAGTTTTGCAAGTTCTAATTGTTTGATTGATATTTCTCACCCTTATTTCTTGACAGGAACTAGAAGAGGAAGAAGCTCGTCGGCGTCGTGAAGAGGCGATGGCTCAGGCAGAGGCTGAAGATGATGAAGCAGATTGTTCAAGCTCCACCAACGAGGGACTTCCTGGAGATCCTGATAAGCGCAGTGGTAAAAAGAAAGCTAAAAAACGCAAAGGTAACAAGAAGGGCAATACATCAACTGCAAGTAAAAGAAAACGCCTAGATGGGCCAATAGACGGTGCTGAAGAACTTTCACGAAAGGTGTATGATACTATGGAAAAACTAAAAGAAATATTTTTTGTGATACGCCTTCATCGACATAACTCGGCTGCCTCACTTCCACCCACCACTGATCCAGATCAACCTGTACATAGTGAGCTAATGGATAGTCGAGATGCGTTCTTACAGATGGCCCGGGAAAGGCATTTAGAATTTTCATCTTTGCGTCGTGCCAAGTATTCTTCTATGGTCCTCTTGTACGAATTGCATATGGAATTGCGTCAAAGCTTTATGTATAACTGCAATGTTTGCGGTGCTCAGATCGAAACTCGGTGGCATTGTAATGAGTGTGAAGAATATGATCTGTGCTCTCGTTGTTATAAGACAGAAAATCATCCACATCCTATGGTTCAATATGGTCTTGGCATAGATGAAGATTCAGGCACAAATGAAGAAACAGGTGATAGACCCAGTGGCACTGGTGCTACACCTGATCGTCGAATCAGCATAGAAGGATGCATAAGGTCTTTACTTCATGCTTGCCAGTGCCGAGACGCGAATTGCCGTATGCAGACTTGTGCTCAGATGAAACGAGTTTTATGCCATACTCGAAACTGTACCAAGAAAGCGACAAACAGTTGTTTGCTCTGTCAACAGCTGTTGTCACTGTTGTGGCACCATGCTCGAAGTTGTGAAGAGTCTAAGTGCCCTGTTCCCTTCTGCTCAAACATAAAGTATAGAGTTAAGCAAAAGCTATTGCAGCAGCGGTTGCAACAAAATAAGTTGCTCAGACGTCGTATTTCGACAATGCACCGAGGAGCACTGCCAACCAGTGAATCACAACCTCCTACACAAAGTTGTCCTACCTCTGCAATTGTATCTATCTCTTCTACTTCTTTAAATCCAAGTAGCATTAATTCAGTGCATCAAACTCAGTCTCCTAATCACCAGTCTTTAACCACAAACACAGTGAGAAACCCACAGTTATCTACTTCCTCAAACTCTGTAGAAAAGCCTCTGAGTAATACGACTCCTGTTAGTTTTCAACCACAAGCTCAGGTACAACAACAAGGTCCAGTATTGCTTTCCACGGGAAATCCTCAGTATTCTCAGCCACCTCGTATCCCAGTGCCGACTGTCGCTTCTCAGAACAACCAGAGTGCAAACCCACGTCCACCTGTTGTATGTTCTTCAGTAATGCCTTCTGGAGGTCGTGTCATAATGCAGCCACCAATAAATACAGGCCCCGTACAACGTACAAATACTCCAGTCACTGTGTCCGTCACCTCAGGTTGGAGAGCTCGCCCAGTAATAGCTACTGCATCTCAAGGTACAGTCCATTCGTCTACCGGACAACTAATACAATCACAAGCGCAGCCAGCTTCTGCAACATCAACTCACTCTTCTGTGTCTATCCTTAATCCTGTAAACAGTCAAAAACCAACCATATCTAACAAACCTACGCAAGTTGAGATAGACCATGTTAGTCAAGTAATCAGCCTTATTAAGGCTACCGGAACTTCAAGCGATGAACAAAACCGTCGGGTGAGCAACTTACTGTTTTTAAGATTGTTGACACACCGTTTTTTCTGTTGTGTATGCTCACTACATAAACCGTATGCATAAACATTTTAAAGCTTAGGTCAATTATTAGGTAATCTTTGAACACATATGAAGATGTTTGCTAATATATTACAAATCGAAATTTCTTGTAATGCGTATCATTAAGAGTAACAAATTGATAAGTAGCTCATGAGAGAATTAAACTCGTTCAATTTCACCATACGATATATGTTAACTTCCCCTCAAATTGTATTTATATTAGGTGGTACTGGAATATTGCTACTGGTTTTGATATCTGATATACCACTGTTTTATCATTTTGTTTAATAAATAGTTAACAAATTTCATAAACCAATATTTACTTGTTTGTTTTTTAATTCTCTCATAGTTTATCGCATGGATTAAACGCCATCCCGAGTTTCATGCTGCCTTTTTTGCTCTACACTCACAACATAAACAACAAGCTGAGCTACGTGCTCAAGCAAGTCAAAGGCGTGTGACTACATCGGGAAGTATGCCTGGTACGTCATCACTATCTGCGAGTTCTGCAATTGCAACTTCCTCGATATCTGACGCCTCCCAATCTCTTCTAGGTTCTAGTGGGGTCACGGGTAACGTTGTTATCGTCCCATCATCTGTATCTGCTAATTCGAATTCTCAGAACACAGGATTAAGTCGAACCCAAAATATAAACAGTCTTTCTACACCTATGTCGTCCATGTCTGTCGTTACTGGTTCAACTTCTTTAGGTTCCACTCCTACTGTGATGCATCAACCTGTTCAGTGGATTTCTATTCAGTCACCAATCACTACGAATCATCACCAACCTTTGATTACTGGATGTACTGCACAACCAATCCAAACTGTTCCAAACACTACGACTCTGCGTTTCCGAGCAGTTCCAGGTACTGCGACATTAGTGCAGTCACAACCACAACAAGTACAGCATTTCTATAATACGACTCAACTTGGTCCGGATTCTGCGTTCAGTGGCAATGATTCTGGATCTAACATGTTTGTTTCAGCTACTGGTCCCAGTATATTGTCTGTAGGAAATCAGCAGTCTCAAGTTCTTAGTGCTGTTCCTCAGCGCTTAACTCCAGCTTCAAGTTCAAGTATTGGTCGTCAGTCCTCTACACCACAAGCAGCTATTGTGCACTTTAGATCACAGCAACACCAACCCTTGAGTGGTACAGTAAATCCTATGCAGCCTCATATAATACTTACTAATACAACCGCTCCTGCAAGTGGCCCAACCCACCTCTCCCACCAGTCCCAACCGCAACTTGTTTCTGCCACTTCTAATGGTCGTCAAGTTGTTGCTTTAATGACCCACCAAAATATTCCTCATACAAATGTATCTGATCCAGGAGCCCCTTTACGCGATTCTGGTTCCAATAATTCTGCTAATAACCTTGGCAACGGCATACAATGATTTCTGTCTTTAAACGTAGTGAGAACACACTTTCATGTTGCTGGCTGTGTAAGTAATTTAAAAGCTGTTTTTGAGCTGACATGACATGGTCATGTTTTCTGTATCAATCCAATTGCTAGTTAATTTATCCTAAATCGCACCGATAAAAACACTTATATGAATTGCAGGCTCAAACTATTATTCAGGGAGGGGACTGTTAATAAATGCTCCATGTCCCTTCGCTCTAACAACTTTGTGATTCGTTAAACCTTAACGTCGCATTTATGTTAATTTTGATTCCTGAATTTTCAAGCCAGTTGTGTGCATTCTTTCACTTTGCTCCGGTGGTCGTTCGCTCTGTTTGGTTGCTGCGCACATTATTTTGATACATTTTGTAGTAACCCCTCCCTGCTTGATAGTGCTTACACATCAAATGAGTTCATAATTCCCGAGGATATCCAAATTGTTTTCCCCCGTTGTCTTTATTTCCTGTTTATTACGGTCTTCGGAACAACTTCACAACTTCATCAGATCTTACGAAATTCACTGGTAACGAATGATTTGTTTACTTTTAGATTCAAATTTGTTTTCTTATTTAAATGTATAAGCTAATCTTTTTTGGCTCATATTTTTCTTTTCTTCAGCTTGTTCTATCAAATCAGGTTGAAGTGTGTTAAATATTTATCACTGTACACATATATGTCAGAGTTTTAGAACTGGTTTGGTTGCGCCTCCATTTGTTCAATATCCCAAAAAATAGTTTAACATTGCCTTCCCCCCCCCCAACGTCTTTATTCGAACTTCGGGGTAATATAGACTTGTGTTGTATATAGCCGAAGAAATTAATCTCCTAAATACCCTTCTTTATTGCCTAGCTTTGTACATGCGACACATACTTTGTGCAGTTAACATTTTTCTTTCTATCAAATTTCCTTCCATTATAGTATAGTATAACTTTGCTTATGTATATGCTTTTAAAATCCGGTCTGTTGTCTTTTCACTGATGTATCCCCAACACTTATTATCTTCGATTTCTCTTTGTACGCATGAAATGCGCCTGCTTATAGGTCACCCACAAAATTACTTTACTCTGTCTTTGTAAATTATTTTCTCTTTTTATTAAGAGTTCTATTGTCTATTATGTCTTTTTATGAAATTGAAAATCGGATAATTGGATTATGTGCTGTTGAAATAATTTGTTTGGTTTGTTGTATCAGGATTAAAAATCACTCCTGACTTTTGGGAATTGGCATTAAATTTAGTCGCATTAGTCATTCAGGAACACAGATTAATCGGAGTTTGATTCTAGAAAAAGCTTAGTTCTGTCATTATGGTATTATATCATAAAACAGTCATGATTTATTCTCTAGAAATGCAGTTTGAGACCTGCGATTTTAAATTCCGCACTAAATACAAATTACAAACCAGCATTTGGGGATTCTAAAAGTTTCCGTTTTCGTGGCACAAATAATTCGTGTGGTATACATCTCGATGGTTGTTTTGTATGGTGTAGTTGTCATGTCCGTCCTGTTAACCAGTGACTGGATGTACTAAGTAAACCTTAGTATCCCCCCAGCTATTCAAGTGGTAAATCGAGGGTTCATGTCAATGTGCATTACTTCAGAAGTAATATGATTATACTTAAACTGTGCTCGTTAGACTTAATCTTCATTACGGGACTTTAAATGACTCTAGCGTTTCTAAAAACGCTTTTTGAGTTGCTACGTGTAATTATTTTTGCTACAAGATTAGTTCACAAACCAGTTTTGAGACGTGTTTAGTAGTAAAATCCATTTTGCATACCTAGTTACAGATACCTCTTGTGGTTAGGATGATGTATTTTCTTAGTAAGAGATTTTTAACCAATTCGCACGATATACGATTCATGAGGACCTTAGAATTTGGTTCACACGTCCTATGTTTTACTACCATTCTGAAGCCATCTTTTTGAACGGTGATCATAGTTTATATCGACAGATTACTTAGTCATTGTGTTGTAATACGATTCGTATTTTAACAGGCTGGTTCATATTCTCACTCCATATTCATTCGTCGGTGAATAAAGAGCGATTATTTCATACAAATCCTAAACGAAAAATCTTAGTTATAGTTATCAATGAAACTCATCAAAGTTAACATTATGTAGAAATAAGAATATCTTTGTTTTTTGTAGGTTGATATTAATTACCAATCACATTGTTTGCGAATCTTCAGTGTTTTTCACATCAAGTAGTTATTGATTCCATTTTTGTTGAATCAGTTTGAGACAATAAGTAAATTCACATGGTTTTACTTCGTTTCAGATAGACACCAATTATCAAAATTAGACGTAAATTTCAACCTATTATCAATTATTTACATTAAACCAAGATGTCCAAAGTAGCTTGTGAGCAAGACGTTTCGAAATATGTAGTCGTAGGCTTTTGGTTTTCATGGGGGCAGATTTTATCCCTGTTAACAGGCTGTCGCTGAATGGTATTTAGAAAGAATCATAATTAGTCGTGACTTTGATATGATGCTATAGATGAAAACCAGTGACGATGATATAAATTTTTGAACATGGGAACTGTAAGCTTGATTGGTACGCGGTCAAAAATGCTAATCACTACCCAGACATTTAAAAGACTCAGTTGTATTTACTGATTCATTCTTTATTAACGACTCCATTTTAATGAGGTAGATTGACAAATGAGTCTCATATTGACTGAGTACCGTGGTAATTTTCTGTTTTGAATTTAATATTGACAATTTAGTAAACATTACTCTTACATTTGTTTGAAGTTTTTAGTTCAGATTGATATGTATATTTTAAACTGCGCTACTTAGCGTAACTTCACAATTATGTTGATGTGAATCACCAACTAAAACAAAATATATAATTTAATGGTTTATACGTCGACATTTCAAATCCTGGTGTTATAAGAGAAATGTCGCTTACTTCGTACAGACTAATTTATTCACGTCCATTTTTCCTCATTTAAACGCTTTAACTGCTAGATAAGGAATTCGGATATCAGGTAATAGTTTTCATGTTTGAACTCCCTAATTTGGTTCTAGACAACTGATTAATATCATAAGTTTTCATACAGTATGATTCTACGCCGGATACTGAGCATTGTACTTGGTCGGTGAATTATATTCCTCCAGAAGTCAGTTTCTTATATTTAACTAAAATCATTTCTAGATCGATTCTTCCCCAGCATGCTTTAAAAAGTACTTAGTTCTTAAAACCGCCCCCAAATGCCCTGGTAAGGCCGAGAATGGGGAGAGTCCGCTCTCCTTCTCGAAATGCTCTCACACGGCCAGCGAATATATAGCCTCTGCCAGGGAAGTCCTACTCACTGCCTTCTCGTGACAGGGGTGTTGTTTACGAAATTGACAGGACGAAAAGCGAATGTCGGGCGCTTTAACCGGGTTGGTGGACATGGAAACTCCACCTAGGGAGTTGGAAAACCCTGGTTCCAAACCAATAGTGCACATGGCCTCCAGTATCCTGAGGAAACAAATGGCGTACAAATCAATCGTTGATCACCGGCTACCATGGGACTGCATCTCCTTACTATGCTCCACTGCCTTGTGGATCAGATCTTTCGGTCAAAGGCTCGGGGTGTGGTCCCCTAAGAAAACTACCTGCTTCAGTTTGGGCACCTGAGCAGTATAACAGCCCTCACACAAATCGAATGAGAGTTGTATGGTACATATATATCTGGTACCACTTTGTACCAATATTTATGTGTTTAAATAAATAAGTTCTTAAAACCAATCAAGATTGAGGTGCAACCATACTGGTACTAGAAATTTATTCTTATTCTAAGGAGTTCTAGTAGTTTTTATAGGAATTTCATATGGACTATGAGTATTACTTGATTATCTTGAAATAATTTAGGTTTCTGGGTAATATTTATCCTTGGGATACTAATGATATATTTCATTGATCTCATTATTACAATAAATGCGTGCGTGTTTTTTTAAAAATCCCACCGATCATAACGTTTTTTATTTCAAATCACTGGGATCCTTAAGTGAATTCTGTTGAGAAGGCTTTTATTATTTTGTGAATATCTTTTTTACTTAGTGTTCCAAGGCGATTAGAATTATGAATACTATATTTTGAGTTCAATGAGTGCCTACCGATCCATGCAAAATTAATGTTGAAAAATGTACTACTGAATAATTGACACTTAGTAGTATAAGTTGGTGAGTATTTCATTAACTTATCTGCAAATGAATGTTGCTGGTCATATTAATGTAGGGTAGTAAGTTAGGTTAGGTTCTCAACTCAGCTTCATGCAGTAAATACTCTAATAGATTATTGTTGTTAGGTGTATATCAAGTAAGTTTACCTGTATACAATACTAAGAAACAAACACGTAATTTTCATAAATGATTATTATTAGAAGGGGTTTTTGTGGTAATTTTATGGTTGAATTCATGAGTCAATTGAAGCTAGACCACCATCGAAAACCTGGAAGCACTGGGTGGACGTTTCGTCCTATTTTGGGACTCCTCGGCAGTGTACATCCACGACCCCGCCTTGCGAGATTCTAACACAGGACCTATCAGTCTCTCGCGCGAGCGCTTAACCTCTAGACCACTGAGCCGGCATCCAACGGTGTTAATGTCTGACTTCAACCAATTCACGAAATTGAGCAACCGTCCACCATTGTCTTCAGTGAGTTACTGCGCACTGCTAAGGAGTCCCACAATAGGACGAAACGGCCGTCCAGTACTTCCAGGTTTTCCATGGTGGTCTAGCTTCAATTGACTCATGAATTCAACTATAAAATGATCATTAGTTGGGACAAGTTCATTCTAGAAAATCACATTATAACAATAGGTTTTCGGATGATCATAGTTATTTTGAAGGCCGGATTTAATACAGTTCGTTCTTTTCGTTGTATTACTTCCGGAGATGTACTGGAATACAAAATATCATGTCCTACAAGAGGAAAAGTACACATGTTAAGATTCATAGAAAAGCAAGGTAATTTTAATTTAATGTTGAATACATTATCTCTAAGTCTATGAAACCATATATATAGCTTCCGCCAGGGAAGTCCTACTCACTGCCTTCTCGTGATGGGGGTGTTGTTCACAAAAGTGAGAGGACGAAAAGCGAATGTCTGGCGCTTTAACCGGGTTGGTGGACACGGAGGGTCCACCTAGGGGAGTTGGAAAACCCTGGTTCCAAACCAATGATGCTCCACTGCCTTGTGGATCAGATCTTTCGGTCAAAGGCTCGGGGTGTGGTCCCCTCAGAAAACTACCTGCTTCAGTTTGGGCACCTGAGCAGTATCACAGCCCTCACACAAATCGAATTAGATTTGTATGGCGCATATGTATCTGGTGCTTCCTTGTACCAATATTTATGTGTTTAAGTAAATAAATAATAATAAACTATGAAACCATATCCGATTACCTAGATCTTTATAAAAATTTGTAACAATGTTTCAAGGTAACCTATCATCGGACATGCAGAGGATCCATTCAAAGAAAACAAATTCGTTTAAGCCAGTCAATTCTATGCACGGGGTAATGACCCTGAGTAATAATGTCAACTTTGCTTTCCACTTAGCTCTACCAGATGTGAAAGGCAATTCTAGTTAGGTGTTTTTGCTGGAATTAGGTGTTATTACTCACAAAAGTAGGAAAGGATTGAGCACATAGTTTTTGTGTATTTCTTTTAGATGGCTATTGCATTTAAAATCAAAACAAACTATGCTGCTCGTAAGTACCTATACCTTCGAATATTATTCAGAAATCTTATCAGCATTTACAAATTGATCAACACTTCTGTTATAACTTATAGGACTCTTAATATATATGGACGTGCAATTAGAGAATGTAGTGGATTTATTGATCGGACACAAATAATACTAGCAGTCTTGGGTGCTATTCGGTCCTGCTATACGCCTAGCCCAGCCAGTTGAGTCCAGAACACAAATAACAGCCTCGGCAATATGAATCATTATTTACAAGCATACTGGGTTTTTATACAAACCAAAGTAATCAATAAACTGATTATAACTCAATAATCGTATGATCATAAATCAAAATAAAGCTCATGATAAGAGAAACACGAATATGAATAGTTTAGTTACGTAACAATTGTACAATAAGAAATAGGCATAATACATTGGTCGATAATAGACCTCAGATTTACCATTCATAATTCACCAGGGGATATAACAACTTCAGAAACGTCGGATCTGGTTATGACAGGTGTTTCAGTTCAAAGTTATACCTTATTGTAGTGTTTTTTTAGTGATGCCAATCTCACAAGAAATACAATCCTCCAATTAGTTTGTTTAGTGGTTCGTAGTTCTTCTGTACCTTTACTGGAAATGATTTTTCTCAGATTAGTTTACTAGAAAAGAAGTTGAATATAACTCGAGTGTAATGATTGACTTGATGGCTCAATTATACTCA